GGACCAGCGTAGGGAGAAGGAGCAGGCAAAGGGGAGGCAGGCTGTAGCTGTGACTGGGACTGTACAGGCTGTGGACCCTCTAAGGGAGGAGGAGGAGGACCGGGAGAAGGTGTAAGACCAAGAACCTGCTGCAGGAGCGGAACGAAGTACGGTCGGGGCCGCGTGGCGACGCCAGAAACAGCAGGGACAGCACAAGTACCCCCAGCAGGAGTACCCGCTCCAGCAGCACCTCCAGCAGCACCTACAGTAGCTCCAGAACCCCCAGCAGCACCAGGAGCACTGCCAGTCGGACCGCCAGCAGTAGTCTCAGCGCCAACACCCTCAGCAGCTCTAGCTCCAGGAGAACCCTCAGGCCCAGCAGCTCCAGCACCCACAGCACGAGCACCTCCGGGACGCGTGACACCAGCACCCTCTGCAGCCGAAGAACCTCCAGCACCAGCAGCACGCCTCCAGCGCCGGGCAAACCACTCACGCAGCTCCTGTGGGGAGAGTGGCTCTCGGCGAGACGAAGCACCTCCAGGCAGAGAACCTCCAGGCGAAGAACCTCCAGGCTCAGCACCCCCAGGCCCAGCACCCCCAGTCTTAGCACCCCAAGGCTCAGCACCCCCAGGCCCAGCACCCCCAAGCTCAGCACCCCCAGACGCAGTACCCCCAGGCTCAGCACTCCCAGGCTCAGCAACCCCAGGCTCAGCACCTCCAGACTCCGCACCCCCAGGCTCAGCACCCCCAGGCGTAGCACCTCCAGTCCCACCACCCCCAGGCTCAGCTCCCGCAGCAGCACCAGAGTCACTAGTGACCTTGACAGGCTCGACCGCGTCTACCTGGGACACACCTGAAGGGGCAGGACCCTGAGGGGGGAGGGGGTCTACCGGGGGGGGACCTGGTACCAAGAAGAGCGGGGGCGGGGGGAGGGACGGAGTGCGGTAGGGGAAGAGGCGGTAGTAGGGTACCGACTCGTCGAACGTGACGTCCTGGGAGGACAGAACACGTCAAGAGGTGGGGTGGTAGAACTGCCACCCAGGGGCGTCGGGGGGGAACCACAGGAAGACGCAGGGAGCAGCGCGAGGGGACAGCTTGTCCGCAGACAAGTCGCGGACAAACGCCCGAGATCCCCAGACCCGGAACGCCGACGCATCGCCAACCTTCCCCGTCCACAGCAGGGCTGGGGAGGTCTCCGGCCTGGAGACCCTGGGGTGGAGGTTAATCTGATGCGCCGCGTACCTGACCGCAAACGGCCACAGAAAATGGGGGGCAGCCGCATGCATCATAGACGTACGAGCGACGTCCATGACCATGCCAATGCGGCGCTCTGCAATCCCATTTTGCTGCGGTGAGTCCGGAAGCGTGAAGGATACCTCGCGCACGACAGAAGGCACGCAGAAGGCCAGAGGAGAACTCTCCGCCTCTGTCCGAGTGCAGACGCAGAACAGGAAAGTCCGAGCCAAAGCTCTGCCTGAGCTGGAGACGAGCTGCGCGGATCCAGTCGATCAGCACCTCAGTGACATCACCCTTGCTGCGCAAGGGGAAGACTGTGGTGTAACGCGAGTAGTCGTCAACCACCAACAGGAAGTAGCGCTCGTGACCGAGTCCACGGACGCGGGCAGGGCCCCACACGTCCATGTGAAGCGTCTGCAACGGAGCCTCTGTCGGAGGAAACTGAGAGGAGTGAGGGGCAGCACGCTGGCGCCCCTCGACACAGGGGACACAGGCGGGGCCAGGGCCCTGAGGAAGGGGAGGGAGGGACCGCGGGAGACCAGACACAAGAAGACGGGAGGCCATGCCTCTGAGCCGAAGCAGAGAGGGGTGGCCAAGGCGGTGGTGCCAGAGGAGAGTCTCGTGAGACAGACGGCGACACGATCAGGGGGCAGACTCAGGACCAGACCTGGACGCTGCAGCAAACACCTGACCAGACGAAGGGACTCTACCAGACTCAGCACCGGGAGGAGAAGCAGTGGTCAGTGTGTACAGGCTCGACCCTGGCTGACGTGTAAACGTAGCCAGGTGGCGACCTGTGCTAGCCTCTGTACAGTGTGTCACCCGCTGACGAGCAGGAGTAAACTGGTGGACACCCGCATCCTGTAGGTCAGCACCACTCACCAGGTTCGTAGAGAACGAGGGGAGGTAGAGACCAGACAGGGTGCCAGAGGGAGCCGCCGGACATGGGAGGACTGTGGAGAAACGAGACAGGACAGGACCCCAAGAGGGGTCAGCCAGGGACACCGCAACTGGCCGACTAAGCGGCGTGAGAGTGGTGCGGTCCCGAAAGAAGGAGCGAGACGCCCCAGAGTCAAGGGTGAAGGTGTGAGAGGCCGAAGCCGACACAGTACCTGAGAGTGCAGACTCACTAGTACCTGAGAGCACAGACGCACTGGCACCTAGAGCAGCAGCCTCACTGGCACCTAGCGCAGTAGTACCAATGCCCGGGTCGGGCGGGAAACACCGGTAACAGTCACCCTCATCACTAACAGTCACAGCATACATGGCAGCAAGGATAGCATCAAAGTCAAGATCAAAGATAGCTACACCAGCCCTAGACAGCTCTCCCCAGTGGGGGATCTCAGAGGCCTTCGGAAACTGCTGGCGCCAAGAGTCGGTCAGGCGAGCAAAGCAGCGGCGGGCGGTGTGGGTGCCCCCACACTGCTCACCCGCGCGGTCGCCGGTGCGAAGGACGTAGGTGCAGGGACCGAGCGCCCCACCACGCTGACGCTGCGAGTACCACTCACGGAGCTGCTGAGGGGTGGGGACGTCGCGAGAGCGCTGCTGCTGCTGCTGTTGCTGCTGCTGGCGCTGACCACCCCCAGTGCTGCTCCGCTGGGACGAGCCACTCCGACCACCTCCACCACCGCCACCCCCGCCTCCGCCGCCACCGCCGCCACCGCCACCCTCGCCCCCGCCACTCCCACCGCCACCTCCGCCACCACCTCCGCCGCCGACTCCGCCTCCACTGCCGCCACCAGTACCTCCACTCCCGCCACCACCTCCACCGCCACCCCCACTCCCCCCGCCGCCCCCACCTCCTCCGCCACCGCCCCCGCTAGCTCCACCCGCTCCCTTTCCCCCCTTGCCCCTGCTAGAGCGGCGCCTACCGCTGGGGGCAGACGCCGCACCGACCGACTCCAAACCAACGAGGTCGGCCGCAGCAGCAGAGGCGACAGAGGGTAACATGGGGGAGGGAGAACACCCCTCAAAGATGGGGGTGCGAGGGTCACCACGAGAGGCCCCTACAGCGACTATACTCTTCTCAGCCGCTAGCAGGGACTTCTCAAGGAGGTCGACAGTGAGGGTGGTGGGACAGACAGAGAGAAACTGGTCCCTAACGGCACGAAGGGACTCAGGGAGACGGGTGACTAGAAAGTAGAGAGTGATGTACATGGGAGGAGGGTTAGCGGCGCGGAAGTCAGCAGGAAGCGCAGCGCGGTAGCGAGTGTCACTAGCGCGGAGGTGGGTAAAGAGGTCAGTGACTGTGGGAAAGGCAGCGAGGTCAGGGAAGAGGTACGGTAGCATGAGGCGGCTCAGCGTAGCGGAGGAAGGGGAGGAGTAGCGCGCAACTACAGCGTCGTACAAGGCCTGAGCGGTCTTGCATTGGCTAAAGTGCGCACGCTCGGAGGAAGGGAGGTGGCGACGCACAGCAAGACGTGCAGCAGCATCGCGTGTGGCCCACTTGGAGCGAACAGTGGGGTCAGCATCAGCAGGAGGGGCAGGGACAGCGCCAGAGACAAAGTCAAAGAGAGAAACCTCATCTATCGCATCGCACAGTAAGTACAGCTACAGGTCCTCGACCCAGACTGCAAATTCAATGGCGCGACCCTCAGCATCAAAAGCCAGGACACTGGGGGTGGCCATTATAGCAGCTGACAGTCTCACCGAGCAGGAAGAGTCGGGTAGCTCAGTAGTACTGCAACACGGCAGCACAGCGGCTGCGCCGGTCCAGGAGCAGCAGCAGCCCCACAGGAGCAGGAGCTCGGCACCCCAGGTTGCTCGGGCGGCTCGGGCGGCTCGGGCGGTTCGGGCGGCTCGGGCGGCGCGGGCGGCTTGGGCGGCTCGGGCGGCGCGGGCGTCTCGCGGGCGGCGCACGGGTTATTGCACGAGCGGTCGGGGCGGGTCAAGGGCGGCGCGCGGGCGGCTCACGGGCGGCTGGGGCGGCTCACGGGCGGCTGCACGGGCGGCTGGGGCGGCTCGCGGGCTGCTCGCGGGCGGCTCGCGGGCTGTGCACGGGCGGCGCGGGCGGCGCACGGGCGGGTGGGTGGCTCGCGGACGGGCGGCGCACGGGCGGGCGGCTCACGGACGGGCGGCGCACGGGCGGCGCCAGCGGCTCACGGGCGGGCTGGTGGCGCACGGGCGGGCGGCTCACGGGCGGCGCCGGCTCACGGTCGGGCGGCGCGCGGGTGGGCGGCTCACGGGCGGCGACTCACGCGCGGCGGCGCACGGGCGGCGTCTGACGGGCGGCTGCTTACGGCCAGGCCGCGGGCGGCTCACGGGTAGGCCGCGGGCGGCTCACGGGTGCTAGGGCAGGTCGCGGGCGGCGGCTCACGGGCAGGCCGCGGGCGGCTCACGGGCGCTAGGGCAGGCGCCGGGCGTTAGGGCGCTAGGGCTGGCGCTAGGGCGGGCGCTAGGGCGGGCGCTAGGGCGCTAGGGCGGGCGCAAGGGTGGGCGCTAGGGCGCTAGGGCAGAAAAAAAAAAGTTTTCCGAAGTGGTGGGCCCTAAGCAAAGTTCCCACAGGGGAACCTGCTCGATACCATGAGAAGAAGTGAACGAGAGAGAATGAGTGAACTATGAACGAAGTGAGTACAAATAGGATGCCCTAGTTGGGTTGTACCCCTTATGGGATACCCCACTATAGCCTACACAAATAAGTAAGCTATAATATTCTGACAATTACCCCGTCGAGCAGACCATATTTGTCTATGTAATAAATACAGAAAAAAACATCATATTCAACAAACTATAGCTTTCCAAATTGTATGATTTTTACACTACCTGAAAAGGTTGGTAGTTCACCTATGGCAGTGATTGGTTTTCAAACTCTCTTCGACAACACTTCGTTTTATGTCGACGACGGGACGGTCGACGACAAAAATGCTGTCGCAGGCTCTGCTCTGTCAGAACTTTATAGCTTATGCTGCTGTGTAGGCTATAGTGGGGCATCCCATAGGGGGTACAACCCAATTAGGGTTTCCTATTTGTACTCACTTCATTCATAGTTCATTCATTCTCGTTTCAGTTTTCTCATGGTATCGAGCAGGTTCCCTCGTGGGAACTGTTCCTAGGGCCCACCGTCTTTTTTTTTTCTGCCCGGAGCGCACTCTGCCCCTGCCCGAGTCGTGCTCCCCTCGCTCTCGGCCCCTAGTGGCCCCTTTAGCCGCTCGTCCCGGCCCTTAGACGCCCGCGCGCCGCCCGTCCAGGCCCCTAGACGCCCGCGCGCCGCCCGTCCCGGCCCTTAGACGCCCGCGCGCCGCCCGTCCCGGCCCCTAGACGCCCGCGCGCCGCCCGCCCCGGCCCTAAGACGCCCGCGCGCCGCCCGTCCCGGCCCTTAGATGCCCGCGCGCCGCCCGTCCCGGCCCTTAGACGCCCGCGCGCCGCCCGTCCCGGCCCTTAGACGCCCGTGCGCCGCCCGTCCCGGCCCCGCGCCACCGTCCCGGCCCCACGCCGCCCGTGCGCCGCCCGTCCCGGCCCACGCCGCCTGTGCGCCGCCCTTCCCGGCCGCGCGCCGCTGCTCCGGCCCGTCGACGCCCGTGCGCTGCCCGTCCCGCCCCCACGCCGCCTGTGCGCCGCCCATCTCGGCCGCGCGCCGCTGCCCCGGCCCATCGACGCCAGTGCGCCGCCCGTCCCGGCCCCACACCGCCCGTGCGCCGCCCGTCCCGGCCGCGCGCTGCCGTCCCGGCCCCACGCCGCCCGTACGCCGCCCGTCCCGGCCCCGCGCCGCCGTCCCGGCCCCACGCCGCCCGTGCACCGCCCGTGCCACGACCCGTCGCCGCCCGTGTGGTATTCGCCCCGGCCCCAAGCCGCCTGTCCCGGCTCTTCGCCGCTCGTGCACCGCCTGTCCCTGCTCGTCACCTACTGCACAGCCGAGCCGCAGCCGAGCCGCCGAGCAGCCCAGCAGCCGAGCCGCAGAGCAGCCAAGCCGCCGAGCAGCCACGCAGCCGAGCCGCCGAGCGTTCGAGCCGCCCTTCTTCCGAGCCGCCCGACCTGCACAGTCCGGTGAGCACAGCTCCAGTTGTCACTGCACTGCCCACCACCCTACTGCTTGCACTACTGGTCGTCTAGGGTCATGGCTACTCCTAGTGTCCTCACCTTTGACGCTGAGGGTAGGGCCATTGACTTTGAGGTCTGGTTAGATGACCTGCAGCTGTTCTTACAGTGCGATTGGGCAGACGGTCTCTCTCTCTTTGACCTCACCTCTGGCACTGCCCCTGCCCCTGCTGCTGATGCTGACGCCACTGTTCGCTCCCAGTGGGCCACGCGCGACGCTGCTGCACGTCTTGGTGTGCGTCGCCACCTCCCTACCTCTGAGCGTGCGCACTTTAGTCAGTACAAGAGTGCTCAGACCTTGTACGACGCTGTAGTTGCGCGCTACTCCTCCCCTGCCACTCCTGCACTGAGCCGTCTCATGCTACCGTACCTCTTCCCTGACCTTGCTGCTTTTCCCACAGTCGCTAACCTCATTACGCACCTCCGCACTAGTGACACTTGCTACCGCGCTGCACTCCCTGCTGAGTTCTGCGCCAAGAACCCCCCTCCCATGTACATCACCCTCTACTACATAGTCACTCGTCTCCCTGACTCCCTTCGCGTAGTCAAGGACCACTTCCTCTCAGTCTGTCCCACCACTCTCACTGTCGACCTCCTCGAGAAGTCCCTACTAGCGGCCGAGAAGGGCATTGTCGCTGTAGGGGCCTCTCGTGGTGACCCGCGCACCCCCATCTTTGAGGGGTGTTCCCCTTCCCCCCTTCTGCCCTTTGTTGCCTCTGCTGCTGCGGCCGACCTCCTTGGTCTTGAGTCGGTCGGTGCGGCGTCTGCCCCTAGTGGGAGACGCCGCCCTGGCAAGGGCAAAGGGGGCAAGGGCACTGGAGGAGCGAGCGGGGGCGGTGGAGGTGGAGGTGGCGGCAGTGGGGGGAGTGGGGGTGGCGGTGGGGGTGGAGGTGGGGGTGAGGGGGTCGGTGGCGGCAGTGGAGGCGGAGGTGGCGGCGGTGGCGGCGGTGGAGGCGGCGGTGGAGGAGGTGGCGGCGGTGGAGGCGGTGGCGGAGGCGGCAGCGGTAGCGGAGGCGGCGGAGGCGGCGGAGGCGGCGGAGGCGGCGGGGGTGGCGGTGGAGCTGGTCGCGGGTCTTCGCAGAGGAGTGGCTCCGGTGGTGCCACGCGCCAGCAGCAGCAGCGCGGTTGTGAGGGCCTGTCCCCTCAGCAGCTACGTGAGTGGTACACGCAGCGTCAGCGTGGTGGGAGCTTTGGTCCCTGCACCTACGTCCTTCGCACCGGCGACCGCGCGGGTGAGCAGTGTGGGGGTGCCCACACCGCCCAGCGCTGCTTTGGCCGCCTGACAGACGCTTGGCGTCAGCAGTTCCCGGAGGCCAGTGAGATTCCCCGCTGGGGAGAGCTGTTTAGAGCATGCGTAGCTATCTTTGATCTTGACTTTGATGCTATCCTTGCTGCCATGTATGCTGTGACTATTAGTGATGCGGGTGACTGTTACCGGTGTTTCCCGCCCGACCCGGGCATTGGTACTGCTCTAGGTGCCGGTGAGGCTGCTGCTCTAGGTGCCAGTGCGTCTGCGCCCTCAGGTACTGGTGAGTGTGCGCTCTCAGGTACTACGTCGGCTTCGGCCTCCCTCACCTTCACCCTTGACTCTGGGGCTTCTCGCTCCTTCTTTCGGGACCGCACCACACTCACGCCGCTTAGTCGGCCGGTTGCGGTGTCTCTGGCTGACCCCTCTGGGGGTCCTGTCCTGTCTCGCTTCTCTACAGTCCTCCCGTGTCCAGCGGCTCCCTCTGGCACCCTGTCTGGTCTCTACCTCCCCTCGTTCTCTACGAACCTGGTGAGTGGTGCTGACCTACAGGATGCGGGTGTCCACCAGTTCACTCCTGCGCGCCAGTAGGTGACGCACTGCACGGAGGCTAGCACAGGCCGACACCTGGCTACGTTTACCCGTCAGCCGAGGTCGAGCCTGTACACACTGACCACTGCGTCTCCTCCCGTTGCTCAGTCTGGTAGGGTAGCTGCGTCGGGTCAGGTGTTTGCTGCAGCGTCCAGGTCTGGTCCTGAGTCTGCCCCCTGTTCGTGTCGTCTCCTGTCTCACGAGACTCTCCTCTGGCACCACCGCCTTGGTCACCCCTCTCTGCTTCGGCTCAGAGGCATGGCCTCCCGTCTTCTTGTGTCTGGTCTGCCCCAGTCCCTCCCTCCCCTTCCTCAGGGCCCCGGCCCTGCCTGTGTCCCCTGTGTCGAGGGGCGCTAGCGTGCTGCCCCTCACTCCTCCCAATTTCCTCCGACGGAGGCCCCGTTGCTGACGCTTCACATGGACGTGTGGGGCCCAGCCCGCGTCCGTGGACAGGGTCACGAGCGCTACTTCCTGCTCGTTGTTGACGACTACTCGCGTTACACCACAGTCTTCCTTTTGCGCAGCAAGGGTGATGTCACTGAGGTGCTGATCGACTAGATCCGCGCAGCTCGTCTCCAGCTCAGGCAGAGCTTTGGCTCGGACTTTCCTGTTCTGCGTCTGCACTCGGACAGAGGCGGAGAGTTCTCCTCTGGCCTTCTGCGAGCCTTCTGTCGTGCATGAGGCATCCGTCAGACCTTCACGCTTCCGGACTCACCGCAGCAAAATGGGATTGCTGAGCGCCGCATTGGCATGGTCATGGACGTCGCTCGTACGTCCATGATGCATGCGGCTGCCCCCCACTTTCTGTGGCCGTTTGCGGTCAGGTACGCGGCGCATCAGATCAACCTTCACCCCAGGGTCTCCAGACCGGAGACCTCCCCAGCCCTGCTGTGGACGGGGAAGGTTGGTGATGTGTCGGCGTTCCGGGTCTGGGGATCTCGGGCGTTTGTCCGCGACTTGTCTGTGGACAAGCTGTCCCCTCGTGCTGCTCCTTGCGTCTTCCTGGGGTTCCCCCCTGACGCGCATGGGTGGCAGTTCTACCACCCCACCTCTCGCCGTGTTCTGTCCTCTCAGGACGTCCAGTTTGACGAGTCGGTCCCCTACTACCGCCTCTTCCCCTACCGCACCCCGTCCCTCCCCCCACCCCCGCTCTTCCTTGTCCCAGGTCCCTCCCCGGTAGACCCCCTCCCCCCTCAGGGTCCTGCCCCTTCAGGTGTGTCCCAGGTAGACGCAGTCCAGCCTGTCGAGGTTACTGGTGACTCTGGTGCTGCTGAGGGTGCTGAGCCTGGGGGTGCTGCGACTGGGGGTGCTGAGTCTGGGGGTGCTGAGCATGGGGGTACTGAGACTAGGGGTGCTGAGCCTGGGGGTGCTGAGCCTGGGGGTGCTGCGCCTGGCGGTGCTGTGGCTGGGGGTACTGAGCCTGGGGGTACTGAGCCTAAGGGTGCTGCGCCTGAGAGTGCTGAGCCTGGAGGTGCTACGCTGGAGGTCCTCCGGGGGCTTCGTCTCGCCGGGAGCCACTCTCTCCCCTGGAGCTTCGCGAGTGGTTTGCACGGCGCTGGAGGCGTGCTGCTGGAGCTGGTGGTTCTTCAACTGCTGAGGGTGCTGGTGCTGAGGGTCCCGGAGGTGCTTGTGCTGGGAGTACTGGAGCTGCTGGGCCTGCGGTTTCAACTGGAGCTGGTGCTGCTGCGGGCGTTGGTGCTGAGCCTCCCGCCCGCAGTCCTGCTGGGGGTGCTACTGGTACTGCTGGAGGTTCTGGGGCTAGTGGAGGTGCTGCTGGAGCGGGTGCTCCTTCTGGGGGTACTGGTGTTGTCCCTACTGTGTCTGGCGTCGCCGCGCGGCCTCGACCGTACTTCGTTCCACTCCTGCAGCAGGTTCTTGGTCTTCCACCTTCTACAGGACCTCCTCCTTCTGTCAAGTGTCCACAGCCTGTCCCGTCACAGCTACAGTTCCAGCGTGCCTCCCCACTACCTGCTCCCTCTCCTTACACTGGTCCTACTAGAGGTCTTGCTGAGCGTCGTGAGCCTGCGTCTCGTCCTGCGTCGCCTGTTCGTGCTGCTCCCACTAGTGGTTGCGGATCGCGTTAGCGTCCTCCTCCTGTCCTTGGCACGCACCAGATGTATCTGCGTCCGTCCACTGCTCCTCTGCGTGCCCCTTTGCCTTCTCCTCCTGCGTCCTCTCTTCCTACTCTTCCCGACCCGGAGTCGGACTCTCTTTGTGCTGTCAGTCCTACTGTCACGCGTCTCCTTGCTACTGTCGTCACTGACCCTTCTTTCGAGTCCACTACTGCGTCTGCCCTCGTTGCTGAGCTTGTCGACTTTGTTGCTCGCTGTCGCCTAGACTACGCTGCTAGTCTTGTCGCTGAGTCTGAGTCTGTCTGTCCTCCGTCCGTCGGGGGTGAGTGTGCCCTTGGCACGGACGTCCTTGAGGACAGGCAGGAGGAGTTCCAGTGCTTGCCCGCTGCTTCACCTCACCTCGTGTCCGTACTGCTTACCCCTGAGGGAGACCCGGATGCACTTGACATCCCGACTCCGCACTCTTACGCGGAGGCGATAGAGGGTCCCTACTCTTCTCAGTGGCAGGCAGCTATGGATGCAGAGATGGTGTCCTGGAAGTCCACAGGCACCTACGTTGACGCTGTCCACCCTCCTGGGGCGAACATCGTCAGTGGCATGTGGATTTTCAGGGTGAAGCGGCCGCCGGGTTCTCTGCCTGTCTTCAAGGCACGGTACGTGGCTCGTGGCTTCAGTCAGCGGCAGGGAGTTGACTACTTTCAGACCTTCCATCCCACCCCGAAGATGACCACTCTTCGGGTGCTACTGCACGTTCCCGCTCACCGTCACTACGAGCTGCACTCCCTCGACTTCAGTACAGCTTTCTTGCAGGGCAGCCTGCACGAGGAGATCTGGCTGCGTCGCCCACCTGGCTTCACTGGGTCGTTCCCTCCTGGTACCCAGTGGAGTCTCTGGCGCCCAGTCTACGGTCTCCGCCAGGCGCCACGTGAGTGGCACGACACACTGAGGACTACTCCTGCGGCTCTTGGGTTTGCTCCTTCTACGGCCGACCCGTCGCTGATTCTGCGCACCGACACCTCTCTGCCGCCTTTCTACATCCTCGTGTACGTCGACGACTTGGTCTTTGCCACTGCTGACACTACTGGACTCGCCCACGTGAAGTCCGAGCTGCAGAAGAGACACACGTGCACAGACCTGGGTGAACTGCGCAGCTACCTTGGCTTGGAGATCACTCGGGACAGAGCACAGCCCACCATTACCCTGACTCAGTCACACATGGTGCAGCAGGTCCTTCAGCGCTTCGACTTCACGTACTTCTCGCCTCAGGCCACCCCTCTGCCTACTCGCCACTCACTCTCAGCTCTGCCTTCGGATGAGTCCGTAGAGTCGAGTGGCCCGTATCCAGAGCTTGTTGGCTGCCTCATGTACCTGATGACCTGCACACGACCTGACCTTGCATACCCTCTTAGCATTCTCGCACGCTATGTTGCTCCTGGGAGACACCGACCAGAGCACATGGCTGCAGTGAAGAGGGTGTTGCGCTACTTGTGCAGTACGTCGGGGATGGGGCTAGTGCTTGGAGGGTGCAGTCCAGTGGTCCTCACTGGGCACGCAGACACTTCCTGGGCTGACGACCAGGCTACACAGCGGTCGTCACAAGGTTACACCTTCAGCCTTGGTTCTGGCTCTGTCTCGTGGCGGGCTACTCGCTCGTCTTCTGTTCTCAGCTCCAGTTGTGAGGCTGAGATCTACGCTGGGGCCATGGCTGCACAGGAGCTTCGCTGGCTCACCTACCTGCTGACCGACCTTGGAGAGCCGCCTCGTTCTACTCCAGTTCTGTACGTAGACAACAAGGCCATGCTGGCCTTGTGTCGAGAGCAGCGACTGGAGCACAGAACGAAGCACATTGCTCTCCGCTACTTCCTTGCTCGTGAGCTACAGCAGCGTGGTCAGTTGCGGCTTGCGTACGTGGCCTCTGAGGCCAACACTGCTGATGTTTTCACCAAGACACTTGCGCCTTGTGATCATCAGCGCTTCTGTACTCAGCTTGGACTTGTTCCTGTCTTGCCTCACTTGCTCACTTCTTGACCTTGCTTGTACTGTCATATATATATACTCTTGCTCTTGCTTACTTAGCCTCTTATATATATATATATATATGCTCCTGCATGTGAACTGGCCTTCTGGCCTTGAACTTGTGCTCAGAATGTGTGGTGACTTTGTGATCCACCCTGAGCTTTGCTTTGCTTTGCTTGACTGGTCTTGTGACCCCTTGTTCTCCCCCACTTTGCCTATGGGGGTGTGTCAGAACTTTATAGCTTATGCTGCTGTGTAGGCTATAGTGGGGCATCCCATAGGGGGTACAACCCAATTAGGGTTTCCTATTTGTACTCACTTCATTCATAGTTCATTCATTCTCGTTTCAGTTTTCTCATGCTCGACGGGATCCAGTCGACGACGCCGACGTGCATTGCTAATGCACATTAGTGGTCGACGAAACCCTTCGATGGGCACTGTTCGGCGTGCTGTGCTCGACGAGCTGTTCTCGGTGAATGCTGTTCGACCAAGCAGCGCCGAGCTGGTCGGTGAAAGTAACGCCTGAACCCTCGTCTTCGTACTCGGTTGAGTCGGTCCCTGCAGCGTGCTAGAAAGGCTGGGCCCAGTGGTACAAGAATGCATTGTCATAAAGTTCATATTCACTTGCTCTACGGCGCACGGGTAGCGAGCGAAACCATCGACATGTGTTCTACCTGGCACCTGCGCATGAATAAGATTAAAATTGATGATTACGTATTCATGACAATTGTAGGGAATGCCCCCTTTTTTTGTGCCTCCTATTCCTTATCAAGTTTGCCCATTGCAGTTTATGTATTTATTTGTTTAGGTATACGCTTTTATTTCAGTGTCAGCTGTGCTCTGTATCGAGCTGGTCTGTGGCGCGTTCTGCCGCGCTTTTCTCTGCACCACTTTCCGTCGGGTCGAGACGGAATCCGTCGACGGAGGCGGATTTACTCGACGGACAGGGGGGTTGGTGCAGGTGGGGTTGGTGCAGACCGGGGGGAGCACGTGGGGTCAACGCCAGCTCGAGCGAGGACCACCTCGCGTCACTCCGAGCTGGCGTGGCTCGTTTCGGGCGGGCGGGTTGTCTGGCTCCCGCCCCTCGCGTGCCCCACCACGCGACGGAGGGAAAACGCAAATCCCTCCGAGGAAAACCCGCAGGGGCGAACGGGGTTTCGCGGAGGGATTCGGGCGAGGTCTTCCCTTGCCAAGCTGCGCGAGAATCAGATTCGCGACCCTATATGTTTTCGACTCGATTACAATCGCAGAACGAGATATACAGTTGGTGTAAAACAAATATATATTCCTTTTGCCATTTTATAAGCGCCGGCGCTTACAAAATTCCTCAATTATAAGCGCACCCCCAAAAAACAGTGTTTTTTTATATCCCCAGGGGCGCTTCTATCCGGGGGCTGACGGTATGGGGTACCGTAATTCGTTGGCTGTTTAATTGGGGTACCGTAATTCGTTTTGGCAGCCCATTTGTGACTAAGTTGGGTGAAGGTTGCCCTTCAAAACGGTGTTCTGGTTCTGGTTTTGAGTGTTTTTTGTGTTGAGGTACTTCTGTTATACATACCAGAAGGCTTTGTTGCATTAGACTGCCTCAATACCCCACTGTGAAAGCTTGTTTCAAAATTGAGGCAACGAAGGTACCGTTGGAGTCAAAGTTGTCTCAAAATTGCTTCAGCACATGTTGCTGGTAAATACCTAGACCCGAATTTGGTGCCTGGTGTTCACAGAACACTGCCAGCATGACGCAAAGGATCTTGGAACCTCCCACAGGAGTACAGAATACTGGATAAAAATATTACATGCTTATTGAGTGCAATATAGGAACTGCTACCGTATCTGCATGAGGCCGGGTTGGTGAAAAGTGGGATTTTGGATCAACACAACACAACACACGGCAATTGCAATCTTTCACAACACAGCTTGTACGGTACTGGTAGCATGGGTAGTTGGCCATACTGGCCAATTAGGCAAACCTTTTAAAACACAGCGAAAGGGAAGAGGCTTCAGAAGTCGTCATCAAAGACAGCAGTGTTGCCTGACTTGGCTGGAAAGTGAATGTTTATGTGGAAGGGACGGAAGCAAGGGGGCAGTCATGAAACAGTGGAGGCTGAACAATAGCCTGGACAAGCAAGACACAGAATTATCCAACAGCAAAAGAATCACCTTTGTGTACCAGTCATCATTTCCAGCATCAGCAGGAACCATTCCTGCATTCAGGCAATCATATTCTCGTCACTGTCGTTGTCACCACCATCACATCCCACGCACACCCATCACCTCATCATCGTACCGTTTATTGATCGCAACATTATTCTAGCCTGTCCGTCCCTCTCTGCTGCCTTTTTCAGCCACTCCTTTCCCTGCATGAGGGTACACACGCAGGAGCAGAATGAGGGTACACACATAGGAGCACAGGAAAGTGAACGGATAGCATGGAGGAAGAAAAAGAGGGGACCAGAAGCACAAGGCAGGAAGATCTACAGAGGAATGGAAACATGTAGGAATGGGGGAAAGCATTCACCCTGAGGAATTGAATGACGTTTTCCCCACCTCACCTGACGTGCACCCACATTGATGCGTTCCCTCAAGAGGTGTATCTAACCCCGAGGTGACATACATGTCAACTCAACAGTTAAAATCGCTTTCCTCTCCCCTAACTTGAACGTCGGCTCCAATACCACAACCCCAGAAATCCATTTAAGAAGGCGATTGACAAGCCTTACATCATCACAAAATACCGGCCCAAAATAAGAAAAGCGAACAAAAACTTGTTCTCCCCGTTTCCTAACCTTGCAACCATCGGACTGACTCTTGAAACAACTGTTGAAGTGAGTCTTGAAAGTCTTAACATGGAGAGCACCCCGAAAGTGTGAGTCAATATTTGAAATTTTACGGACAAGTATTTTTCATCTCTGCTCACCTTGGCTGCGTCCGCCTTGACGCCATACCCCGACAGGTACATCTGCGCTAGCAGCGTCTGCATGGGAGCCACGCCGCTCTCCGCTTCGGATTGCGTCTGCCGGAACCACCGCTGCATGCACTCGTGCACCATCGCGCGCAGCGGCACGCGCTGCTGCTGCTCTGACGCCTCTCGCTGTGACTGCGATGCAGGATCGGTCCTTGCTGCTGCTTGCGTTGCCGCTGCGTCTCGGTTCAAAGCCGTGCCTTGTCTCGATGCTGGCTTTTGCCTTGACGTTGACTTCGCGTGCTCCTTCCCCTTATCAGTTCTTTCCTCCATCGTTCCGTGAAACGCGCTACCGTTATTGCTCCGTCCGGCTCTTACTACGTCGCGCAATCGTCTTCTCCTTCGCACACTCGCGTCCTGTATGCTGGGTAAGGACTACAGATTAATAATAAAATCCTATTCTACTACCCTCCCTCACCCCAGCTTTCGCTTCACGAGTCCGTAAACCAGTTGCGGATGCATGAGCTTCAAGAAACGACCGCAAAAAATGTTCCAATCACTTCAAAAAGGGAGAGTAAGCTATGATGGCATTTAACTAGAAGCGTCGTCAGCATAGGACAGTGCAAACCGTCGTACATGTCACGCGTACAAGAAAAAATTCCAGAAAGCGAGATGTGAACCCGGCACCAATACGTGCTAGTTAAACTCGACTACTCTTACGTCGTTCTGATCTCTAAAGGACGACAAGCGCTTCGAAGGGTCGGTCACAATCAAGAAGCACCTTCTATCTGCACTGCCAGCACTCTGTGCCTTAAACGCACAAAAATTTGGGGAGTTGGACAACGTAACGCAATAACTCCAGGCTGATCGAAGGGAAGCACCTACTAATATTGCTATCCTGTGGTGTCTGTCTGACGACTGAAGTATTTTAGGGAACGAATAAAGTGCTAATCTGGTGGGGTAGTACTTTTGCGTGCCAGAGCGGCACAAACGAATACTAGAACGGTCGGGTAAGGTTTTGAGGAATATTCGAACACTCACGAACGATGTGTTCCTCCAGAAACACATCTGTCGCCTCGACCCTTTTTGTCGATTCGCTTCGCTTTTCATGTCGCAGTCACAGTCCTTGTCACAGGGGCACGTACGGAGGACCGCCGACACTCGTGGATCAAACGATCCTTGCGAGGTTGCCGAAATCGTAACCGACGCTGACGAAAACACCAGTTATGAGGGCCTGAAGAGCATTAGAGCAAGGTATACCTACGACCATCAGTACACGCTACAGGTTAAAAAACAAGTGTCTGCTGACACATTTCTGATGGCAGCTATCATTCAATATCATGCACACTGATCCTCCTTCCTACAGTCAGATCTCACTATAGGTGGTCATGGCATTGAATGCTGTTAAAGTGACATGTGCACAGCTATTCACCAGGAGCCATGAGGTTACGGAATGTGTTGCTTGAGAGCTCAGAATCTGTCACACCCATGTTGCCGTCCATGATGTCGCGCCGGCTCATTCCTCCTGTTTGTGTCTTGCGCATCATTTGCACAAACTCGTTGTAGTCAATGGTTCCATCCTGCAAGAGATTGCACAAACTCGTTGTAGTCAATGGTTCCATCCTGCAAGAGAGGCGAGGGTGGGTTGAGCACGGAGTGCAGAATCGTGAGCATTGTGAGCATGTAACCAGTGAAAAGAGGCAAGCAGCAAAGCACCATTCCCAACGCAAATACACACGCGTCAGTCATGCTATTATTGGTCTCTTCTCCTTGACTTTGTCCATACCTCGTCATCCTTGTTCAGTCGTATCTCCTCACATGCCCCTAGCTTTTCCAACTCACCCTATCTTTCTAGACCACTGTGCCACAGCTTGAGTACCCACACCCACACCCCCACAACCACACCCACACCCACAACCACACCCACACCCACAACCACAACCACACCCACGCCCACACCCACGCCCACCCCATCCCCACACCAGCATACACACCCTCCCACACCTCTACACCCACACTCACACCCTCAATTAGACAATGCTCTCATCAATCTCTTATCATGATCTCATCCTTGCTCCTCACAACTAGGCCACACCCACACCAACAACCACAC